GACGCCGTAGCTAGGCAGAGTGGTCGGTGGTGGGGACGCGATATGCCCATCGTCAACTCCAGGGAGACGACGGGGAAGCTCTCACCGTTAGGTACGTATACAACGCTTGTTTGGTTGACCAGTAGTTGTTGACTAGCTCTATTATTTTGTTTATCCGGTTTTAGCTCTAATGGTTCGCTGTTTATGTGGCTAGCTAGCTATACATAATGCGTCTGTAGCCTTACTAGCTGTATGGACTACAAGTATGGCTGTATGTCATTTGTCAGGCCATTTAGCATGTGTTGGCATTACCAAATGTGGTACATCACAACTGTAATGGACCAACCAATGTCATGGAGTATATATACATTGCCTATAGCTACGTTCCTTAGTGCATTGACACTGGTGTGCCTGACAGCTGATGGTCATATACATATGGTGTGTTCAGTTTTATACAGAATGTAGGAAGCTCTGGAGAGGTAAAGTTTTCTGACCATTAGCATTTCAAACTGCTTAAAATGATCTCCTTGCCAGTTGATTTTAAACCACCAATATACAGTGGAAGATACTGTGTTACAATGTGGTTACATTTTGTACACAGAGGAGGAAGAAGTAGCAGATGGTGGTGGAGAGCTAGCGATGACGGTGGACAAGAAGACTAGAAAGTCGACAGATGGTGTGCATAGCACCGGAGGAGTGAGTGTATTCACCACTCTGGGGTCTCTAATACTGACTGCCAGGCCCTACAACGGCTCTACTAGAGGGTCAAGGTGGACAGGGGGAGAGGAGGAGGAGAGGGGGGAGGAGGAGGGGGAAGATGGACAGGGGGCCACTCTACAGGGGGAGATCTTCCAGACACTCAATAAGGAGGTGTGTGTGTGTGCGTGTGTGCGTGCGTGTGTGTGTGTTATTGGTGATTAAGAAGAGGAAAGGGAACAAGATTATAGAGCTGACTTGTGGGCCATGGATAATTTGTGGTGGAGTGAATAATTACACTTATAATCAGGTTTCCAGAAAAACAAGCTACAGAAGTCATTACAATTTAAGAGTTGCCTTTCCTTCTACTGTTCCTACTGCATGTGTGTGTGTGCTATGGCGCTGATGAACACACATGACTGGCCTAGTGTGTAACGACTGTGTGCACATTGTACTGTACATATATATACTATGTACATACATAGGTGCTTGGCCATCTGTTAATATAATTATATTGAGTCTGCAAGTATTCAAATCAGTATATACAGTAACTCTGTGTCCTCGCCTTCCTGTTGTGATTAACACTGTACACCATCATAAACCTCAGCTTTAGCATACATACAGATGACATGTACACTTGATCTTTGTTGTACTATACTCTATGGTAATCACTACAGACTGCTCTGTAAGTGTGCCAACATTGCTATGCTTTGCTGCACATGTGAGCATTGGCCAGTGCTGTGTCATCTGCAATCTTCCCATAGAGTTTTGTCACTGCACACATTGCAGGTTGATAACAGTCATGTGAGGGTTGATAACAGTCATGCTGTGTAGAGCTTAAATAAGGGAATGTGGCAGTATAATATATAAGGGCTAAATTTAGAAATGTTACTAAAGATAGTACAAAACAATAGGGGCACTGTGAAAGAATGCAATTGAGTAGTATAATTATATACTGCCACATTCCCTTTAATTAAACCAGGAAGGGAGGGGGGTTGGTGATTATTTTGAGTTGCTAAAGCTGCCCTGGTGGCTCAGTAATTGTGATGAGTCTGTCAGGTAGCTCCTCAATTTCATCGTGCTCACTTGTTGTCTTGCTCTGTTCCACACGTCAAATGCAGTCGCTGTTTGTGATGCAAGAACACATGGAGAAACTCTGGTGCGAGCGGATCCCAATGTGCATCGAGGTCAAAGGTCAAGCCACACCCTCTCCTAACGAGTCCCGTTCCCTGCTCCTGGAACAGTGGCTGATACAAGTCCTACCGAGAAGGTCTGCATCTGTGTGTGTTCTACGTACTCACGTGGTCGAGTTCAAATGCTTCAAATTTCTCTTAATTGTTTGTAAAACCTCACGTATGTATGTATGTAGTACTTCGGTATATTGTAGAGCAAGTGCATATGTGTACGCATAGTGATACATAGCAGGTGTGTGGTTGGCTGTATTATTGGATTCCCAGGACAGGGAGGAATGCCTTAATTCACTCCTTCTTTGAATGTGTTAGACCCATGTAGATGTAATGTCTGTGTGTCAGTCACTCACATACACACATACATACACATACATACATACATACATACATACATACGTACATACATGTGATATAAAGAAGAAAGTGTCCTCCGTAAAGGTGTCCTAGTCCTGTTTTTAGACCTAAGATCAGGAAACCTCGCTAATTGTAAGTGCATTTTCATCTGACATCATGACACTCGCTAAATCACATCAGGATACCTCACTAATCGGGATATATGCACACTCATCATCTTTCCCTCTCTTTCACTCGTTCCCCTTCCTTCCTCCCTCCCTCCCTCTTACTCCTCCCCCTCCCTCCCGCTTCCCTCTCCCTCCTCCCTCCCTCCCTCCCGCTTTCCTCTCCTCCCTCCCTCCCTCTCACTCCTCCCCCTCCCTCCCTCTCACTCCCCTCCCTCCCTCTCACTCCTCCCCCAGGTCCCACCCTCACCCCATCCCTCTCTCCTTCCTCACCCATGCCGTCCAGTCATATCTCCACTTCTCTCAGATCAGGTCGTGGATCGTGTCCCACAGAGGATCTCTGCCCTTTGACCTCACATACAGGTCTGTTTAGTAAACACCTTTCCCCTTTCACATGTGATGATGTGTAGTATAAAGAAGAAAGTGTCCTCAGTAAGGTGTCCTAGTCCTGTTTTTAGAAGAAAGCCATAATAATACTCCGTTAAGGAATTATGTGAGTTATAAAGAAGAACTGTACAGAGAGGGCTAAGGCTACAGTTCCAAATTATGTCGCTTGCCCCGTCGCGCCGTGCTGTGTTGCCGCATCGCACGGATACATCATTTCTATCTTTTGCGGCAGGACGTGATGCGGCACGGCACGATGGGGCAATGTGACAGACGTACGTACGGTTGTGAACCTAGCCTAAGACATTAATTTTGACATTGCCAGGTTTACATGTAGAGTTCTGTAAGCCAGAGTACTTTCCTGGGGACCACACACATCTCCTACACTACAGTTGTCGACGTTGGCCAGGATTATACGACTTTGTCCATAATTAGTCGGGGGAAATATTTCTGTTCTCGCCTCCTCTAAGTATCAGTCCTACAAGTTACATCCCTGTGGCTACTATGGCAGTGTACGCTGTGCATACACGTACATACACTCAGAGAGGATTGAGTTGAAGAGGGAGAGGGGGGGGGAGTGAGTGGGGATGAGAGAGGGGAGTGGGAGGATAGAGTCTAGTCAACCGGGCAATTGCTGCCTTCCAGATTGGGCCAAATTGCAGTGCATTAGTAGTCAAAGTGAGTAAAGACCAAATCCTCGTTTCAGGGAGTATATGAAGTAGCCACCCGGTGGGTGTGTTGACATGGGGATTGGGCTGGACACCTGTAGTGTGTACTACAATGTCATTGGCTTTAAATTACCTCCATTATGTAAGTACAGGAATTTGCGTACATATTTATGTACATTGGCAACTGTATCCGTGTTGAAGTCAAAGTCATGTGCGGTATTTTGCGCTTACTGATGACTCATTTAGCATTATGGCCTCACTATCAAGCCACGTGAATTCCTTAGCCATCACATCATGTACTACCCCCCCAGACTAAGCTATTAGCCTATCATCATCCGACTATGCTATCACCGTCATCAGTGCTAGAGTATCATGCAGCATATCCATTGGCCAGTAATTATTTTGAAATGACCCCCTCCAACTCCAAGCTGCATGGTCGTTCCAAGGAAACCATGTCCAAAATATGGCTACATTTACTTACCAATTGCTTATAACTTGAGCTGGCAGAAAAACTGGTCATGCACCATTGATACATACGTGTGTATGTGTGTGTGTGTGTGTGTGTGTGTGTAGACTAAACCATTTGCAATTGAGCATCCCATATGTAGTTGGTTTAGAGATCTACGTAGTTCATAACATATGAATAACAAGTCATGAATCTCTCACTCTTGAGTAGATACTATAATGTTACCCTCACCATTAATTATTCCACAGAGTGTGTGCACCTGGAGAGGATGACACATCGGATCAGTTCTCCCCCCACCCTCCCAAAGTCCACACCTTCCCACCCTCCCCGCTCTCCCCACTCACCTCCCTCCAGGTCACCATCCGACACCTCCCCAGACTCAAAACCGTCCCCACCACACTCACCTCCTCCTCCGCTTCGAGAGACGGCGGTGATAGCATCATTTCGAAATTCCGCGACCTTTCCATCTCGAAATCTGCCGAGCGTCTCAAGGACCTGAGTGTGATAAGGAAGTCTTCTTCTATGGAGTGTCCTCAGAACTGTCAGAATTCATTCTCCAAGTCTGCAGAATGTCTTAAAGATCTAGTGTTGGCATCTGGTGCATATACTGTCAGTAGGAGCCGTCTGTTGTCCAAGTCAGCCGAGAGGGTTCGCGACCTCTCCACAAGGTCAAAGGTCGTGACTCCACCCTATTTGACTAAGGAGCCACCCTCCCCTCATGCCCACTCCCCACGCTCACCCCAAACCCCAAGCTCCTATCACTCCCTCACACCGTCACCCCATCACCACTCGTCACATCTCCACCGCACCTCATTGTCGGCAACTACAGACGCCTTCCCGTTCTCCCCGCCACAACCCTCCCCAATGAGTCCCAAACTGCTCGCCGGATTGGGGGAACCCCTCCAATATCACTCGTTATTGGACAGAAACGCTCTCAATGCCACATCTCATGATAATGGTATGAATAACGGGAAGGCGGGTTTTGAAATCAGCGGATGTTCCAGTGAGTGCAGCTGTCAAAGTTTGGAGAGAGGGAGTGACAGAGATGGAAATGGAGGGCATTCTTGTTCCGCCTCGTTTTGTTTCGACAGTCTGTGTGTGAGGGAGGGAGGGTGTGAGGAGGGGGAGGGGAGGAGGAGGAGGAGGAGGGGGGACAGCAGCGTGAACAAGGTGGAGAAGGTGGTGAAGCGTGGTGCCGTGCGATCGCCAGCTGCATCAAGCCCAGTAAGTTGCACTCGTTCATTAGTTCATGATAACACACACACACACACACACACTAAGGTGGCATAAAATATCTACCCTGTTGTATAGTGTGTTATATAGCCTGTTGTATGAACGGAAGTCAGTGCTGTGCGCGCGTAATAATGGTACGAGGGGCGTGGTCGAGATAGTCATACAGCACGAGGCGCAGCCGAGTTGCTGTATGGATCTATCGAGACTACGTTCCGAGTACCATTATTACGCGCGCACAGCACTGACTTCCGTATATTAAGTAATTTATTGTATGCGTGGGCGATTCAAAGGCGGCGACCAGGAAAACATTTTCGATGTGATGGATCTTGAAAGCTGAATCATCAATTATTGTCCATGGCCCTATCTGCTTGAACAGTACAGATTCATCCACACTTGTTGCCATACTAGCATGAACTGTTGTTATATGTAGCTCTCAAGTTTTGGGTGATAGTACAACAGTGCCAAAATAAGTTATTGCCCACGCATTTCTCAAATATAGTCTTGGCATGGGCTGATCTGGCTACTGTCAGACTCTGGCCAAGAGTCTAGTGTGGTTTCTTATCATCTGCCACCTGTCTTTGTACTGTATTATAATGTTATACCAGCTGTTGTTTATGATGTGCTCTCCGTACTTTGATTGCATGTTTAGTTTTAAACTGAGCCCCATGTCATCATTATTAGTCTGACTCAGTCCATTGGTCCAGTATTTTCCCCTTATGTTTCGAATGGTTTGGATATTTTTGGGGAGGATGAGTTTTTGTTAACTGCAGGTACCCTTTATGAGGAGAACTACGAGTGAAACGAAAAATCAACACAAGTAAGTGTCGTCTGCAGGGTAGAGAAAGTAGACCTTACCACACATATACATACATAGGGCTAGAATACATCTTGTCCTCGTGAGTTGTATAATTGTATAGAGCCTAATGCACACGGACCTGTACTCGTGCTCATGTGCTTTCAATGTGAATCTACATCCTATATATGTAGTACTTTTATCTTCCCATCATCCACTGTGTATATTGACTGTGTATATTGACCGTTCCATTAGCAAAAACTGTATATATGAGTGTTTTGTGCATGTGTTAATGTGTTCATAATTTGACTTCACCATTGTCCCTCTGTCATCAGGAGGTCTTCTGCCATCAACCTAAAGGGAGTGGTAAGTGACTGACACACATTTTCCCAATAATGACGTACATGTATGTACGTACATCATGGTCTGAAAAACTCTTGGTTGATCTGGTAAATGAATAGCTCAAGGAGAGTTGAAGTACAGTACGTACACAGGCCAAAATGGAAAAGAAAAACCAACTTACAGTATGTCAAGAATGAAACTTCTCAATGATTGAACTCTCATTTATGTATAATGTTAGCTTCGGTGCATAGTGCACTGGACTTCCAATCACAATGCATGAATTAGACTTCTGACAGAGTTTGGTTCTTTCTCTATCCCTCCTGACTGAACTAAACCGGCTATCTTTAATCTCACCACCCTTGCCCTACCAAAGTTGCTCTTGCTTTGGTGGTTGTTAATTTCTCTCGTAACATGTTCTTCTTGCTTTGTTGGTTGTTCACCAATTCTCTTGTCACTGTGTGTATGTATGTACCAGCAGACGCAGCGTCCACCCCGTCCTCTTCGCAGCAACTCTGCGCCGGCCATCATGCACTCTCTGTCACTTCTCGGAACCTTTGAGGTGTGCTTCATTTAGACCTACTCTCCACTCAGTGATGATGCTGTCATATGCATGAACTTGTGTCCTTATTTCAGGAGTCTATACTGAACGGGAGGTTGGAACCATGTGGATTTGTTGAGGTATGATGCGTACAGACGTACATTTCTCAGTAAATGCCTACTGTGTAATCAGCAAGTTGTGGGATGCTTGAATGTCCTGTGTCACTAGACAATCTTTGTGTACTTTGTACCTGTGTTTACACGAACACAGTACCAGGGTGTTTCACAGGCGGAGCAAATTTGGTGTGTTTGTGGGTGTAAACTTTTGCCAATGGCCAAACTGAAAGCCATTCCCCGCCTCCTAGGACCAATGTCTTGTACTACTCGGGTCATGCTCTGAGTGGATTTCACACGTGCCTCTTCGTTTTTGTCCTAGTGTGAATATTTTTCATTACGTCTTGCAAAGCGGTTGTGCATAAAACGTATGTACACTACGAGGTACTGTAGTGTTAGAATACGTTATCTCCATATAACGCAGGGGTTCACGGCGGAGCTGGGGGCCAGTGGCTCATTCTGCCCTCGTCACATCTCTCTCCCGGTGACTGCCGCTTTCTTCAACCTCTCAGACTCTGGAACCTCTCCCTATCTGGTGGGCTCTCTTGACTGACTTGTTAAACCCAGTACAGTTTTTTTTGTGTAGAGCATTGGCTGCTTTATTTCTTTTTCTCCATGTACAACTATTCACTAAGTGAGCAATATGTAGGTGTGAATGCCCCCTTTTTGTGGCACTCGATTGGTCCAAAGTCATGTGACCAGAACTGCGAACTACATGTAATTATGTATATTGCAGGGAGTAATTGATCTGTCTACCACTGGCAAGAGAGGATATCACATAGCAAAGAAAGGCACAGTTCAACTAGTAAGTCTCGGATTGGAAGTGCTTGTAATACAAAGTACGTGCCTATGTTCCCTCGACATTTTTTATGTGTGTGGTTTTATATAAAGCTGCATACAATGTACTGTACTGTACTTTATTGTATGTATTATTGTGTAATGTGTGAGTGACTTAACCATGTCTGTCTTCCCAGACATTGTTCAACCCCAACGGGACAGTGGTCAAGATATTTGTGGTGACCTACGACCACTCTGACATGCCACCAAACTCTCAAACATTCCTGCGACAGAAGACGGTCTCTCCCCCTCTCTCCCGCCTCACCCCTCACACCCTCTCCTCCTCCCCTCCCCTCCTCCACTATCTCATCCATCTCAGGTTTGTAGATTGGAGACTACTGCGTTTCTCATTATCTCAACTCCATTAGAATTTCCTGCACTAATGCCTGGCTGCACCTATTTACCTTTGTACTAATTGGTTGTTTATGGCCACGACTTTTCTCCCCCTATTTTCATAACCCTGACACTGTTAAGAAGCCCTTTAGCTCAGTATTGGGACGAGTGTCGGTCAAAGTAAAAGAGCACATGGATTTGTCCTTCGTGGCAAAGTATAGAGAAATACATATATCGCTGGTGTGTCAGCCCTTTAACTTCTCAATCACTAGTAACTTGTTGGACACCTGCTTATGTATGTAGTATTGTAAAAAGGTTTCCAAGAGTCATTTGACAAGTTCTGAATACCTTGCAGTGATGTATAATAATCACATCCTGTTTGTTATGCCCACATCAAATTGCAAGTCTGTCTAGTCATAACATGAACACACTGTCAAGATAAACAACAGTGGAACATCTGTTGCACAGCACATCAGAGTGACTGATGCATAGTGCGATTGTCATCTTTGGCTACTAATACATCCCCAGGTTCCTGTGCTCCAGATCAGGTAGAGTGTATCTCCACAAGGACATTCGACTCATTTTTGCTCGCCGGGCGCCAGACACCGAACCCGACTTCAGTTTTGTCACGCTCACTACCATGACCGAGGCCCCGCCCAGTCCAAAGTACGGACCGCTGGACGGGCAGTCGGACAGAACCAAGTTGACTGGAGTCGTTCGGTTGTAGTGGGCACAGAGTTATTTTCTGTTGCGTAGGGTTATTCACAAACTCATTCCTAAAGCCGCCATGATTAGTGTTGCATGCACAGCACAGTTCTGATCTATATTTTAGTACCAAAAAATCACCATGCTATTTTTATACTACAACCAAAGAATGGTTATCATAGGTCATTTTAAATACGCAGCCAATTTTACCAGTCACTTTAGTCAATGATCATAATTAGTGGAGTAGCTGCAATTTTTATTCTTGTGTTGTACATTTTAGTCCATGAAAATGCCAAAATGAAAAAAGCAAACCTTCTGCGCAAGGAACATGCTTGCGTATACAATGAAACCTCCAATAGGGACCCTCCGAGATATAGGGACGACCTCTCCACTTGTTTCTATATACCCCATGCTAATACTTTATAGTGTATTATTTTACCTCTGAGATAGGGAGGGCCTCTCTACAAGGGACAACATCGTTAGCTCCCTTGTTCGGAGGTTCCACACATGCGCTCATTAACTCTCGCGCGCATGCGCAGCGAGGGTTACTGTAGTTACCCTCGGCGCGCATGCGCAGCGAGGGTTTACTGTAGTTGGGTTTGTGTGTGTGTCTGTTACTCTCAATCTCACTTCTGGAGTGTTTGTTCGTCTCACAAAGGATACGATCTACTTAACGGGCAATGAAGGTCAGAAAGTTTGTGGGGTTTTCTCTGAAAATGCTCCGTTGCAAAGCTAGAGCGCTTCCAGCATTGTATGGCTAATGAAAACTTATCGCTGGCGGATAATGCGCATGCGCTTATATTTAGCACAGTCGACGGGGCCCGCTTGCTCTGTCTATGTCTTGATGCACAAGAAATGGCGTGTATCGACTCTCGCGTGCTATCTACTGTAGCTAGCCCGTGTCAGACTCTCTGCGAGCTATATACTTCGCCGAGGGTTTGCACTTTAGTGCTTTTCATTGGGTCTGTCCGTCCGTCCGTCCGTGTGTCTGTTACTCTCAATCTCACTTCTCGAGTGTTTGTTCGTCTCACAAAGGATACGACCTACTTAACGGGCAATGAAGGTCAGAATTTTTGAACGGTTTTCTCTGAAAATGCTTCGTTGCAAAGCTAGAGCGCTTCCGCCATTGTACGGCTAATGCTAGTCGGCCATTTTTATCGCTGCGGAAAATGCGCATGCGCTTATATTTTCAACAGGCTCGGGTCGGCTTGCTCTGTGTATCTTGAAGGCACGAGAAGTCACAACGAAGGGCGTGTATCGACTCCCGCATGCTATCTACTACGCCGAGGGTTTGCACTTCAGTGCTTTTCATTTGGTCTGTGTGTGTTTTGTCTGTGTGTCTGTCTGTTACTCTACGTCCCACTTCTCGAGTGTTTGTTCGTCTCACAAACGATACGACCTACTTAACGGACAATGAAGGTCAGAAGATTTGAGCGCTTCAAGTATTGTAAGGCCAATGTCGCTGCGGAAAATGCGCATGCGGTTATTATGCTAATTTGACCGGGCCCGCTTGCTCTGTGTATCTTGAATGCACAAAAAGTCACAATGAAGGGCGTCTATCGACTCCCGCATGCTATGTACTACTGTAGCTAGCCGGTGTCAGACTCTCCACGAGCTATACTAGCGGGCCCATCAATTAGCAGTAATGCGCGTGCGCAGTTCGCAGAGGGCTAATTTGGTGGCGGCCCACAGGCGCTAGGCACAGCAGTGGGGAAGTGAAACCCCCAGCGAGCCTCTAACAAACCCTCGGCGCGCATGCGCAGCGAGGGTTACTGTACCCGTGTCTGTCTGTGTGTCTGTCTACGACTATTCTCACACTACAGGCAACGATGCGGCTAGTGAGCGATTCCAACAGCTTTAGCGGTACATGGGCTAGAAAATAAAATGCCGATTTTGCTGAAACGACTGCGTTCGAGGGCGACAAACTGGCGCGGTCGCGGACAGCGTTTCGTGGCCCAAACCGTCAATAAACGGTGCGCATGCGTGTATTAGACGCTGGCTCAGGTCGACCTGATCCGCTTGCTCTGTGTACCTTGGAGGCACAAGAAGCCACAGCAAAGGGTGTGCATCGACTCCCGCATGCTATCTACTACTGTAGCTAGCCAGTGTCAGACTCTCTGCGAGCTACTAGCGCGAGTAAACGCCAATGCAATAGCCCAGCCCATCCATTAGCGGTACCGCGCAAGCGCAGTTCGCCGAGGGTTTGCACTTTAGTGCTTTTCATTGGATCAGCATTATCAGTGAGTAGCAACGCTGGACTAGTATCTACACATCCTTCGAATAACTTCATCCCTCAGAAGTGAACAGAACATGGGCTAAACCTGGTCAGTGCTGATTATGCATTATTGCAACTTTCGTGGCATATCTCTTGAACTTATTAGTTTGGGTAAGCTGTGTTAATAAAACCCTTTGGATGCCATATGTATCTCCTTAATAATAAGCAGAAATTGATGTATAATAATTATAACATATTAACGCCTAGTATTATAGCCATATATAAATTCTTACACACTTATGGAAGCTCTGGGCATGCCCGTGGCTTGCTATGCAAACTGATAGCTCTGAAGCCTTTGGTGCTTTTATCTTTGTCAGCATACACACTGGTTTGTTTTAGTTACTTGCTGGTTGCAATTTGTACAATCACTTTTAAAGGGAGGTATATACATAATAATCATGCAAGTAGCTAATAGCACACAGTAGTCGTATAATATACACAACATGGTTCAGAACAAAACCACAGTTCATGATCAGTAGTTACTTTACATACAGGTCAACCAGTTCCACTGCTACATTGTCAACATGTAAGTCACGCAGACAGATTCTCAGTTCAAGGTCATCGCTAGTTGTCTGGTTGAGGGTTTGGGTGAAATATGGAGGATTGTGGAAAGAGCAACATGTACTGGTGGAGTGACAGCCTTCACCGTCCCAGAGAGGGTCATTGGAGTGGATTCGTATCTGATCGGTATCATTGCGATATCCTGGCCACACATACCCAGACTCACAGAAGTAATCTTCTCCAACAAATGGCGGGATTGATGTTACACCGCTGTCACATGGACACCTCTCAGACCGATGATCCACCGTGTTGTTTTCCCAAGGTCCCACCGCAAATGTCCAGATGTGCTGCCGAGGTCTGCCGTGCAAAACAGCAACACCGCTGACATAGACACTGTCAATTGTAGTTTGTCCACGATCGCTGAACCCGGAGAAACCGTCTGGTAGTCCATACTGGTAGGCTGTGATCCTGCCACACACCTGGCTGTACGGTCCTCCACCGACAGGGAAGAAGACTGAGTCACACGTCAAGTCATCAGGACCAACTCTGCCGCAGGTTCTCTTGGAGTAGCCAGTGAGCTGCCAGCCAGATGGACAGTTGGTGTTGGAGTCTGTCATATCCAGGTAGACTGCACGCCTCCAATTTGTCGTACCACCACATGAATATCTCGCATTGTTCATGATCTTTTCTGTCAGGCTGTGGTTGATTTTCTTCAGTTCATTGGCTATTTCGTAGTCATGTTCGCCAATATACTCTGATGTCAGCAATGCATAGTTACTGAGACTTATTAATCCATTTCTAACACCAATGTAATTATCTCTCATTGATTCATTCAGAGAACTCAGTCTCGTATCAAGTTGAGCCACTGCAGATGTAGTCTGCTGGCTGTGTGTTTGTAAGTCTCTGCTTAGATCACTGATGATTCCATTGACATGGCTTAACTCCATCTTGACTGATTCATTCAGAGAACTCAGTCTCTTTTCAACTACTTCTGTGAGATTACCAATAATTCTTTCACTGAGAAAGGCCACTAGTTCAGTCACATCATTAGTTGAAGAGTCTAAAATATTCTCACTGGTTTTTATTTCTCTCTTCACGGAGCTAATATCTTCCTTCATCTCGTTCAAGATGGGTGCCAGAGCTTCATACACAGCTGCAGTGAGCCTCACAACTGTATGCGGTAGATATACAGTTTACAGTGGAACTGAATGAGGCTAGACCTTACCATCACATTGAGACTGTCCCAGCTGTACATTATTAGACAGTGTCACTAGACACAAGACAAGGAGAGCAGACCTGTCCATCTCGACCGTTGAAATAAGGGACGTGTAGCGATTTGAGTTACAGTGTGATGACACTGCTGTCGTAGCTATGTAGTTATGCTGGTAGTACGGTGAGAATTGCTGTGTGAATGAGTTAGTGAGTGCAGTGACTTAAATACTGAACTTACCGGATGAAGGAAGGAGGGAGATGCAGTTGATGACTTGCATGATGAGACGTCCGTTAACGGCTGTGCTGTGATGCTTCATCACCCTTTCATCTCACCCACTGTCACTTTAGCATCCTGTTGCACACACCACGCTGTATACCTAATCTACCCAACAGCATTATAATTATAATGTACTAGGCCATCTTCCTGTTCGACTATAGCTAGCTGTGAATCTAAACTCCACACATAATATGGTGCGCCTGTTTATAGAAGCTGTAAGGAAGAAGCCGATTACTGAAACATCAACGATCATCACAGGATGTTCAAAGTAACGGGTCAGACTGCCCAAAATCAATGTTTACTCACGCAAACACCTTATACAAACATGATTGGACATTGGAGTGGCCACATACCATTTTAGTTTACCGCGGAACTATCGAACCTCTAGATCTAAACTCACAATGAGAGCAAATGTATTTTCGGCCAATGAACCAGCAAAATGCAGAAACTGCACTTACGATCACATTACGGAGCAAGAAGCAGCGTGAGGCAATTAGGCCATCTTCCTGTTCGACTATAGCTGTGAATCTAAACTCCAACCATATGGTGCACCTGTTTGTAGAGCTGTAAGGAAGAAGCTGATTACTGAAACATCAACGATCATCACAGGATGTTCAAAGTAACAGGTCAGACTGCCCAAGATCAATGTTTACTCACGCAAACACCTTATACAAACATGATTGGACATTGGAGTGGCCACATACCATTTTAGTTTACCGCGGAACTATCGAACCTCTAGATCTAAACTCACAATGAGAGCAAATGTATTTTCAGCCAATGAACCAGCAAATGCAGAAACAAAGTAAGTTGCACTTGCGATCACATTACGAAGCAAGAAGCATCGCACAACTAGTCATAGCTACACGGTGGTTTTTGAGGCCAGAAATAATATCATCGGAGCAAATTTCAAACTTTCATTCGCAACTTTCATTCTAATGTTTTTACCCCCCATTAGGTGGTGCGCCAGTACGCTCGCTTGACAAAAAAGCAAAAACAGCGACAGGGAAGTCAGTCAGTGTCATA